GGGGGGGGGGGGAGGGGGCTCGTGACCACGGGTATCTAGCAACGTGTGCGCTAATCTACTTTCTTGAGTACATTTTAGGGGGGACTATGCACCCTCAACAACGCAGTCTTTGGCTATCCAGGTAGGTAATACACAAGAGAAAGGGGGGGCAAGAGCCGGCACACGTCCTTTTTTTTTTTTTTGTGGCAGAATGTGTATCGTACAGCGTCGTCTTTTTTGCGACGGGTGGCGTTTTTCTGTCCGTGATGACTAGGCCAGTGCTTCTTTACAAACATTAACACGAGGGAGGGGAGTACTTTAGCACTCTACTGGTTCTTCGTCCACGCCTCTGAAAACAGCAATAATATTCGGGTTCAGTCATCGGGAAGGGGAGGAAGTGGAAGGGGTTCTTGAACCGGAAGTGGCGTTATCATTCAACCAACTTAGCGTCATCACCAAAGGTTGAGGGCCTGAAAGAGAGAATGATACGGAAGGATGCTGCTGCCAGCACCTGCTCTACCCAAAGATTTCTGAACGAAATACCGTACTTTTTCGTGGTTCCACATATGTATACGGGACGTCCCGTCCTTTTCGGCGCTGAATTTCCGCGGCCGCGGACCGCACGGGACCGCAAGGAAGCACATCTCTTGCCTCCTATGCACACGGCAGCTGAATGTAGCTATTGCAAGCTCGCACCGATCGATGGGTACCTATACCTACCCTTTCTTTCGTCTCGATCGTCTCACTCCTCTGGGATGCCACTTGGAGTTGGTTGTGGTCAGCATCGGTGTGCCGCTGAATCTGATTGGCCGAAAATCACTGGCCGGTGGGAGACACGAACCGCAGGGAGGGCAAGAAAGAGACACCATCCCTTTCCCTCCTGGCTTGTTTGGCTGTTCGCTCCCACGGGAATCGTGCGGCAGTCTTGCTCGCCGGGGGCGAAAGCAGCTAGCGGTCTGGGCCAATGGACTGAAGTGTCTCGCGTGCTCGCCCTGACCTCACTTGTCCATCCCCACGTCCACGAAGTCGGGCGCTCCTGTGGAGTTTGTTTTTGCTCGTTTTGCCGAAGGGTGTCCCGTCTTCTTTTCCTCCCCCCAAGTTCGTTCTGGTGTTCGGGCTTGTTTTCGTCGAGAGGGCCGAAAGAGAACGACCGTACGTGGTGTGCACGACAGGGTAGGTCTGACGCTCGATTTTGATACACGATAGGGAACCAACACCAAGGCAAGAAGAGTATTGCTGCCGCGGTTATTAATCACCTACTACCGGGTGTGACCTAAGAACTTGCTATATAGCTACTGTTCCGTTGTGAACGTGCACTCAAGGTGTTGTGCTTGCAAGCACCCAGACTTCCCTCTCTTCATTCTACGGCAGCTCGAGAGAGACAAGAGTAGATAATGGGGCAGAGAACGGACGGAGGAGGTTTGTTTCTGTCTCAGGGTACACAGCAACTGCAGTGCATGCAACATGTTGCTGCACATGCACTACCACCCAGAGGTTCACTTGATTTTTTACTTCAACTAGTCCGTTGCCGGTGTGCGAGCACGTCGGCGGCGGAAGCATCGTCCATGCACACGTCATGTGCAAAAAGGAGGTCGGAGACGCAAGCATCAACGGTTGTTCGTGGGCTATAGTTCTTACCGATAGGCGGCTGGTGGGCTTTCGGAAAACACTCATGGTGCTATCTACATGAGATCTTCCTTGTCGAAACTTTTATGTGTTTGAACCTCTTTGAAACACCAAACCGCCCTCTTGCATCCACACTTGTCTACTTCAGTACACACACCGCCGTGCCCTGATTCCCCGTCTACAGCAGCAGAACGAACCTGAAACCCAACAAGTTTTTTCTCTCTCGTCACCAATGCAAAGCAAAAATCTGCACAACAAATCCGCCGGAAAAAATGGTACCTATTCTATGCGTCAAAAGATGAAAGTAACACCACCCCTTCCTGCTATCGGAATTGCCTCCACCCCCCTCGTGCTCCATTTACGTACCGCGGAAACACACCAGTTTCACCTTGTACCGTAATAACTCCGACAAGAGCGACAATGCTAAAGACGCCCCCGCGAAGCTCCCGCATCCGCTGTATTAATTCGCACGCTGCTAGATACACCTTGCACCCCCCCCCCCTGTCTCGATTCGACGGGGAAAAAAAAGGGTGCGTGCCACAAGCCTGCCTCTGCCACACCGAGCGCGGAAAAGATCGAGTCAGCTCAGTTTACCTGAGCTTTGCAGACCCACCTCTAGATACAAACACACAAACACAACAAGACATTCCGGGCCCACAGCCACTCCATGCCATCATGCTATCGGTCTATCCCGACCGGCGACCCCCCCCCCCGATTGCTTAACCGACCCGCTTGGGGGGGACGCCTTTCCCACAAAAACCAAACAGGGGCTTCCGAAGCCGACCCCCCCCCCTCTATCTCTCTTGGTTTTATACTGCCGGGGCCCCTGACGACACCACACTCCGGCCGGTGGTGACAGCCAATGGGTGCAACAACAACAACCCGCCCGGCGGAAAAGCTTGCGGGATGGAATGGGACCACATTGTGTCTCGTATTGGCGAGTCATGACCGACTTTAGGTCAAAGCCACTGTGCCGTCAAAACAGCATTACCACGGAGAAGATCGACCTTTGCTTGGAAAACCAGGAAGTCGTGGAACGGAAAAAATGCAGAACAAAAAACTCTACTCAACTCCCGAAGAAGCAGCGCACTTTTTTGGTATTCCTTTGGTATTCTGTTTTTTTTCCTGCAACGGCGATGGGGGACTAGTTGGCCGACTTCTTCAGATTCAATACAGACTTGTTTGAACTGAACAATCTACGGCGTGGTCCGTAAGGAAAACACCCCCCCGCCGCCACCTCCGCCGTTGTTGTGATAAAAAATGCATCTAGGTTATAGCGACGACAAGGCATTTGTCTGTTGCGGCCATGTACCGCGGTCATCAAATCACCTACTTCAATATACCTTGAATCTCGGCCCTTCCTACCACAAACAAGCCTCATCTACAGGCGAGAAACTCAAGCGTCGAGTAACGCCACCCCCCCTCGGCGTTCCATCAAACAACCAGACCTACCAACCAAACACCCCAGTAGAACTAAAAAAAACTCGGTGGTGGAACATGCGCTCAGCTCTCTGGTCATGCCGCCGCCGCCTTGGCCACCTTCGCCGTGGCCGACTCCACCCCCCCCTTTTCCAGACGGTGGCACCAGTCTCCGAACGCCTCCGGGTAGCTCTTTCCGGGGGCGTTCTGTCGGGTTGCCTTGTAAGCGCTGCCAAAAAGCAAACGCACATAAAAAAAAAAAAAAATGCATACCGGGAGGTCGAGAGAGCACGGAGGCGGTGGCGCGCGCGGGGGGGGGGGGGGGAAGTAGCTTTCTATGTGGGTAGTTCCTGGCTCGGGTATGGGGGTTTTCTCGTGTGCAAAACGGCAGTACCGATAAATAGTTGGTCTGTCGGTACTCCGTTGTGTTTGTGCAGTGTATCGTTAGGTCGTTAGGATGATGGGGCTCCCACCACCGACAATGGGCGTAGGGTTATTGTTCCGGCGTTATAATGATTCGATCGAGGGTCTAGACCAAGGCAGCGGGTGTACACTACGGCAAGCAGCACAACCCCCCCCCCCCAGTGTTTACCATCGGGGTTTGGGTTTTCGTCGCTTGGCAACGACGTTGTAAAACAAGCCCCCCCCTCGGTGTTTGCCATCGGGATTGGGTTTTCGTCGCTTGGCAACGACGTTGTAAAACAAGCCAATTCACTTCGTGAACTCGGCAACCAGGTTACCGGTTTTTTTTTTTCTACGTCGTTTTTTTTTTGGCGGTAACCATAATGGTGGTCGAGTAGATCATGTTGTGCGGGGTGGAAAACCCTCACTCCGCGCAACGGGGGATGATCGCACCACGTTGTGTTAAAATGGTCAAGCACCCTCGAGGCAGTTACACAGTGCTTACAACTGTTTCTGGAAGTGAAAGC